AGGGTCGGAGTCTGGACAGCTTTAACAAGCAAGGCTACTGTCCTCAACAGGCAAATAACAGTAACAAACAAAAAAGATTCATTCCCTGTGACCACACTGGAAGGACAAGTAAAGAGCGCCAGTGGTGCCCCCAAGCCCATCTTCGGAGTACTGACATGAGGTCTAAATAGAGAGCAAGAGGTATGCATAACCGTGCCTTTCTGGTTAAAGTGTGGTCCTGACTCTTACTGACCCAGCACTGACTTCCACTGTTGGCTCCAAGTCTGTTCTGCATCATCAGCATCCTGCGCAGTCTCCTTCCTGGAGACAAGTTCCTCTCTGGCTGATGCCAAGGTCTCAGGCTTTTCCTTCGCCAGCACGAGACTTCTGGGGGGAAATGTCAATTCCTTCATTGTCTCCATAGTCTGATAGTGGAAGGGGTCGGCGTGTGTCCTTAGAATATCTTCATTCCTGCCTTGTTGGGTGTGCACTTGCTATGGTTTGGGTAAGGTTTGAGCGTGTTGCCCGGAGTCGATTGTGTTGGCAGCTTGGTCCTCAGTGTGGCAGGGCTGATGTGGAGGAATGTTTAAGAGGAAAGACCCACTGAAAGGTAGTTAGGTTGCTGGGGGCTCCGGCTTCATAAATGGGTTCATGATTTTACCAGCTCCTTTAAGATTTTCCTTATTTTACTCTTCTGAGTCCTTTGCAGTTTCAAATGAATTTTTAAGACAAGTTATCCGCTTTTACAACTGGAGTTCTGATGGGGATTATGCAGAATCTATGGGTCCATAGATTTGGGGACTGGGACCATCTTAATGACATGAAATCACCTGATTTATGACCATGGAATTATCTTTTATTTGTCTAGATGTTGTAAACATTTCTAATAGTTTCATGGGGTTCAGAGCACAATTGTATTTGTCTTGCTAAATTTGTTGCCAAACACTATTCTTTTCAAAACATTTACCGTACATGTACATGTATGTTTGTGTGCCTGAGTGCATGTATGTGCATGTAGATGAAGGAGCCTGAGACAGTCAGAAGAATCCAAACTGCAGTCACCTGTGGCTTCAAGCTGCCGTGTGGGTGCTGAGAACTGAGTTTGGATCCTCTCCGAGAGAAGCAGGCACCCCTGGGCACTGCTACAGCCCTCACTTTGTTCTTTTTGATGCTGCTATAACTGGAATTGCTTTCTTCATTTCACTCTTGAATTGTACAAGTCCCGTTCTACACCAGCAGGAAAGCACTTCGCCTACGTCCATCACACACACACACACACCTGCTTTCACCCTGTATGTAAGTTCCTGTCTGCGCACACACTGAAGACAGAGTTGTCCCCTCCATCATCTCAGACAGTCTTGCACACACTGGACAATACGATGTGCCCTTTATATCTTAAAAACTTAATGTCGAGAAACAGAGCATGCATTGTAGGCATTGTAGGACTCCATCAATCAGGCTTCAAAACGAGACAACATTTATTTGCCAGGGAAGTAGTTACCCATCGGGGGATGGGAGGCACTGGTATGACAGGAAGTGCTCACGAGGCAGGTCTCTCAGGTGCCGGCAATGTGATGTCTCCGTCGGCACTTTCATTTTATACAGGTTTATCAGGCTGTGCGCTTAGACTTCAGAAGTTGTTTATATAGCTTTCGCTCAAACATTTGAGACAAAGAGGTCAAGGAGAGAGATAAGACTGTGCTGCTTTGTTGAATACTGGAGCCACTCCAGACATATAGTGCTGCCCTTTCATGCACTTTTTTTGGATTTTGCTTTTGGCAATAATACCTACTTCCCTTTCCAAACGCCATTCCTTAAGTTTTAGAAGGGTCCTTTCCTCCATCCACCCCACGATATTTCCTGGAGAGGGGCTCAGTGTACACCTAGATATAAAAGAAAGTGTATACACTTTATGGTTAAGGGGTTGAGATGTGACAGTGATCAAGCTGCCATTTGCTGTGTCACCTCTCTCTGCACTTACAGCCTCAATCAAATCTGCACACGCAGCCTCGTTCCCCGTAGCATCGCTGAGTGGTCAGGCGGAACCTTGTACAACATGGTTCCTGATCTTGGTGGCACAGGATTGACAGGTGAAGCCACGGGAAAGGACACAGTGAGACTCCTTAGGGTCCTACTCCTGACTGATGCTGGGATGCTGTGCTCCAGCTCTGCTCATGATGTCTTCAGTCCAGAATGTCTAGTCACGCAGAATTGCATAAACTTAGCTCTGCCTCCCCCCTTCTTAAAACTTTCTTATACAATTTTCTGAAGCAATGATCTCATTTCAACATTCAGCTAGACCAGACTTTCTCCATCTCCCTGCTGTTGATATATTGGGTGGCGGCTGCCCCGAGTTCATCCCAAGGAGTTTGCTCAGCAGTACCTTGGAGCTTTAACCACCCCGTCTGTTCCAGTAGCACTAGTCCACCAAGTTGTGACAGCCAAAAGGATGCCCAAATGTTCCCTATTCTTGTCTTCTGGAGGACACAACTGGCCCTGGCTGAGAGCCACTGGGCTCAATGGTCAACTTCAGTCCTCCGATCTAGTAGAGAGCCCTACTTTGCTCATATCAGGGAAAACCATTATGATCCCCAAAGTGTTGGTGTTGATTAATGAATGGAACTGGGATACCACTTGTCATGACCACGGTGCCAGATGAAGGCGTGGCATCTGAAAAACAGAATTATGACTGGAAGGCAGCATTCTCTAATTGCCTCTGGTGCCAGTTCCCGAGAATTTCACAACCACAGAGCAGACATTAAGGAGGAATTCCAAAATGTTCTGAGCAAAGACACTACTAGGACCATGCTGCAGATGGTTTACTCACAGAGACCTGGCGGTTGAGCATCTGAAGAAACTTCAGCAGCCCCTACCTAGCAACTCTTCCTGGGTCTGAAGTTCTTCTTCTGGGCCACCGGGAATTTTGATGACCCACGGCCACAGGAGCAGGCCTGTAAGGCATTGCGACTGAAGTGTCTTGTCTTTGGTACTAAAAAACGTGTCTGGTCCTCTCTGGGAGGTGTTTTCCAGGAGCTTTTCCAATTGTTTGGTTTCCCTCAGGAAAGAAGGGGTCAAAGCCTTTCCTGAAGTCTTGTTAGTGATGATAAGCCCTCAGGTACCTTGAAATGTGTGCACCACTGGTTGTGGTGGTGCACACCGGTAGGATTTGCTGAAGGAGGCAGAGGCAGGAGGATCACAAGTTCGAGGCCAGCCTGGGCTACACAGTTTCAAGTCAATGTATAAAATTATTTTAAAATAAAATATTAAAAAAAATGTGGCATGGTGGTGCTGCTGGGGGCTGATCAAGAGAGGGTCTCCTGGGTCATCAGCCCTGCCAAATTCAGGCCAGTTTGCACTGACAAATCCCCACAACACAGGAGGCGCTGCTTAGATGATGTCACCGGAGCACACAGACCTACGAGCAACAGTTTGCAGTTTGGTGACCTTGGGAATTTCCCCTCAGAGGGGGCTTGAATCCCTATAATCTTGTTGTCAGCCTGTCCAATGAGAAATGACACACAGAAATCCCATCTCAAAGAAGTTTCCTTTTAATATAAAAAAATGTGAAAAACTTGCATATCAAGGGAAGTTTCCAATGCACTCATGTGACTAGCCAGAAAACAATGCTCACACCGGATGCAGACATCACTCTAAAGCTAGATACTGAGAAGAGCAAGGTGTTTTTAAAAGCAAACTTTTAACAGCACTAAGCGAAATATGTTGCTTTGTTGGCAAAGCTTTGTGAAAGCTTCTAATTGTCAGGTATAGTGGTGTGTCTTTAATCCCTATGAGGTCAAGGCCAGCCTGGTCTACATAGTGAGATCCTGTCTCAAAAAAAAAAAAAAAAAAAAGCAACAACCCCCCCCCCAAACAATAACAAATAACAACAAAACAAAAAAGGAAATAAAATAAAAACCTTTTTACCAATTAGGACAATAATGTTTATCCTTTCCCAGTATTGTTTCTTCTTCAAACCTGGGGTTCAAATGACCTTTCACAGTTCCTAATGTCCCATGTGTCTGCCTGTGAGTCAACCTGTAATTCCAAGTTAAGAAAGCAAAGCTGATGGTTGCATAGCTGATTCTCCTGTTCCTAATTTTCAAGTCCAAAACTGTGGTTATTTTTTCCAACTGCACATATTAAGGTATCCAGGGTCTTTCTAGACACTTACCTGTACTCTCCCTCATGCTGTGCAAATGCCTATCCCGTGGACAGTGCCTGCCCTTTGGTTTTTGAGAGTCTCACTCCGTAGCCCTGCCTGCCCTTGCCTCCTGAGTGCTGGGACCAAAGCTTGTGTTTTTCCCCCAGTCCATATATTTACCATAGATTTGGGGCAGTTAGTCAAAACCTACTGTGCTCCCCAGTGTGCTGAACAGATTTTCTCCATTGTCTAGAATTTTCTCATTAGGGTTGTGTCTTTGAGGGTTAAGAAATCACCACAAGGTACCCCTCAGCACTGAAATTAACAACACACCCACTCTGTCTGAGCCAGGGTCTACGCATATGTGACCCAGGCTGGCCTCACACTCATGATCCCCTTGCCCCAACCTTCCAAATGCTGTGACGATAGCTTGTACTTCACTCCTTTTAGTCTGAGTTTAACCAGATAATCCCTCCTACAATCCAAGGGGGTTTGAGATCTAGTCACCATATTCAAAGGCGGGGTTCTTGAGAGTAAGTAAGCAGGCAAAAGACACCCTGAGGCCTTGAGGTGACTGTCAGATGCCATGCCTTTATGAGGATACAGTCTCCCAGCTTCTGCTGAATGCAATTGGGGTTGGCTTTCAAAACGGCAGCCAGGAGAACAAGTTGCCAAAGGGTAGGTGAGGGAGCCTAGAGCCTTTTCTTTTTGTTTCTACTGCCGCCTCTAATTTTTCCTATTTCAGAGAACACACCAACTGTTCCAGGAAATCTGGCCCCAAATTTCCTTTTCCACCATCAGAAATTCTGGGCTCTCAGGAGAGGGATGACCCTTAAAACAAATGCTTATTTTTTTAAACTTTTTATTTTGGTATTTCCAGACCTTGCCCAGACCTCCCAGGTGAGAGTGATGGATCAGAGCTGTTCTAGCAACACACAGCCGCCGTCCAGGAGGCTTTCCGCTGGGCCGCCTCCTCTTGAAGAAACACAAACGGAGGCCGAGTGAGAAGTAGCTACAGTTTAATACAAACCTGCACCAGGACACAACGTGTTGGGCTGTTATGTTTTGCCTCAAACGGTGGCCAAAGCACAGGACCATGTGTCGTCTTGGGATTGACACAACCTTAGCACCATGACATTTACAGAGGAGCGAGGGAGTCGCTTGGGGGCTGGGGCGCTGACAGCTCCGTTCTGACGGCTGTGCCTGCCACCTCAGCAGCTGGAGGGGGGTTGGCTTCCATGTGGTTCTGTGGTTTCTGGGTCAATAGAAGAGATGCCCTCATCATGGCACTGGCTTGACAAGAGACCTACTGTGGACTCCTAGCACTACACACACGCACACACACACACAAACACACAGTAGCACAATTTTCTGGTAAGTTAACCCCACAAACCTAGAGAGCAGCTAAGGCAAGAACAACAGTATTTATTCAGCAAGTACAAGACCAGTTTGAGAGCTGCATTCGGTGCAACCAGAGACCCTTTACGCTCCAGCCAGCAGCCACTGGACCTGTGATGGGGCTGACTGGAGCTCTGCACAGGGCAGGAAGCAGACACTGGGGGATGATGGTTTGTTTGGCTCTTAGAAGCTCCTGGATGAGCAGTCTATGAAAGGATGGACCTGGGCCTACAGAAGGGTGTGGGTGGGTGAAGTGGAAGGCCTACAGCGGCCTCTTGAACACACACTCTCCCACCACTCAGGTCACACACTTCTCGGGGTGGAAACACTCAGAGCAGGTGGGGCATTCCTGGCCCATGCCATGTGGCCTGCCTAGCTGGCCCTACCACCCCTTGGATCTCTGGCATCTGGCCAAGGCCTATGACCCTGCAAGGGCAGAAATAGACAAAGCTGATGTATAGCTAGGTGTGGTAGCCAATGTGTATAATTCCAGTACTCGGAGAAACAAAGGCAGGATTGTTGTGAGTTCAAGGCCAGGCTACATAGGCAAGACTTTGTGTCAAGAAGGAGAAGGAGGAGGAGAGAGGGAGAAAGAAAGATACAGTCAGACACTGTACCAGGGGCCAGCGCCACCTGTTGTTGTTGTCCATGAAGGCTTTTCCAGGGCCATTACCTACTGTTCCTGTGGCTATCCCTGTTCCCTGGGTTATTTGTCCTTTCAGCTCCTAAGTGAGGATAATGGGAATGAAGGGAAGATGAAGATGCAATTAGAATCACACACAAGTTCCCAACACTTTTCTAGTCCAGGCTCAAACCAAGAGTATACATTAGTCAGCTCATGACAAAGATAAAATCGACTTGTGCAAAGCAAGGCAGAATGCGCTCCCTGAGGGAAAGCATTCTATCTGGTTAAACTCCCAGCCAGCCTGACATCACTCCACAACTGTTTTCCACAGCTAGGTTAGACATCCAATGGCAGCCATGAACAACTAGGGGGCCAGGGGGTCTAAACTTTCCAGACCTCAGTTTTGATCTGTGAAATGGGGAGAGTGGTAAGCCTTCCACTGTCAAGAGGAGCCCGTGAGAGCTGATACATGGAAGGAAGGGCTTTGATGTACCCAAAGCAGGAAAAATAAATAAATAAAATAAAAAGAGGTACAGGGATGAGTGCCAAGATCTCCGGAGCCTCTGGCAAGTTTGGGGAGCTCAAACAAAAGTGAGATCACTTGCCAAGGGTTGGTGGGAAGGCTTATCAAAGGCAGCCAGCTGAGCCACTTCCCAGGCTGTTTAGCCACCTATGAGAACCTCCGAGGAGCTTCTGAGACGGGGTGGTCAGCAAGAGCAGAGTGTTGAGTGCAGGGTCCCATAGCACTTGTGTGGTGGATTCGACAGCTAGGCCTTGTGGGTTGAAGCCCCTTCCCTGTGGCTGGCCGGCCAACCCTCTCCTACTCCCCCTTTCTCAGCAGGTATGAGGCCTCTTGCTAGTCACACAGGAGGAGTAGCCAGGCCTTGTCCAGCAGGGGCAAGTTATAGGAAGCTTTGTGAGGGTGTGGATGTGGGGTTAGTGCTGGGAGGAACCAGGAGCAGAGATGGGAGAGGGCCCACCTTGCTGCTTGAAGGTTTTTAGGGTCAGAATCCAGGACATTTGAATGTAGGAATGTAGGAGGGGGTGGCAGGAGGCAGGAGTGTGGGGTAGGGGAGGCATGGTCTGGGGCTTTTGGAAGTAGAAGGACCCTGGGTGGGGGGAAGGGACCAGGGGGACAGCCTGCCCCCACCTCTGCCCTGTACTGTCTGGTTGACGGTGAGTGCAGCATCTCGTACGAACCAAATCTATTCCCGATTCTATGCTATGCTAGTGACACGAAGCACCGCTATTTTCCACAGGGTGCACAAACAAGTCAAACCAAACCACTGCGCAAACCAAACGTGCAAAACAAAACCATTTACACGCGCCTGGCACCAGCCCCATGCCCACCCAGCTACCTTTCTGGGGCCTGGGACTCCCAGAGGGTGTGAGTAGGCAGTGAAAAGAGGCTAGCAAAGGGCACAGGGTGTCCCAAGCACGGCCACACCTGGGGTGTCCCGACTGTACCCACACAGGGCTGGGGCGAATCGGGAGAGATGGGACACAGTGGGCATGGCTGGGGAGTTGACACCTGTCTGACTTGGGAAATGTCACCATGGGGCCTAGGGGGTGAGGGGGGAAGGCCCTTACTTATATCTGGTAAAGTGCTCCGGACACCTGTCTGGGTAGGCAGCAGGGCAGGGCACCAAAGTCTGGGCCTTCCCAGAGCCAGCATAGGAGGTCAGGGTGAGAGGAGGGGCAGGGCCAGGTGCTATGCATTGGGTGCTGTGCATAGTGTGGGCTTCTGGGGCCCAGGGAAACCCCAGGGCCAAGGAAGGAGCAGAGCATGAGGAACAGCTCAAAGTGCCTTGTTAGGGGTGGATCAGAGCCCCGTGAATCGCGGTCAGACAAGGGAGGCGGGGCTCCCTGGTTGGTGGAGACCACACCGGTGAAGCACTGCCCAGCCCAACCTCTCCCACCCCCTGCAGCTGCGGCCGGAAGGTGTGCAGGCGGGTGTCCGTGGAGCAACCCCACTCGGGGGCGGGGCTGGTCAGGGCCTTTACCAAATACCGCTCGACCTGCCTCCAGGGGGCGCAAGGATCCGCGCTGAGGCCCGCTTTGGAACGTGGTCATCGATCTGAGAACCTGCAGGAAAGAAGCAAGCAGGAGGGGTCAACTCGGTGGCGATGCCTGGGTTCGCAGGCCCCTTTCGCCACTGAGGCCCACGGGGCTGAGTTAAAGCTTCTCCTTTCCCAGCACTCCCTTAACATGTATGTGAACCTTAGCGTGTATGTGGAGGCCAGAGAACACTGCCCATCTGTTTTAAGACAGACCTTGATATGTGCATGTGCCCAAGGAAGTGTCGGATGGAATTATAGGCCGTGAGTTGCTGGACGGCGGGCACTGAGCGCTGGTAAACTGGGAACTGAACACAGGTCCCCTGGACCAGCATTGCATGCTCCTAATTGCTGAGCCCCCAGGCCTGGCTTTTTCAACATGGTTTCTGGGATTGAACTCAGGCCCTTTTGCTTACAAGGCAAGTGCTTTACTGACTGAGCCATTCCCTGAGTCCCAGGTCCTGAGGTATTTAATCCTTATTCTTCTATTCCATTATCTGGTTGAGAAAACCAGGGACATTATATAAGCTCCACCTCTTACAGTGTAAGGGGTTTGAAGAGTCTGGGTTTGAACCCTGGTCTCCCGACACAGAGCCGACTTTACCAGCTTCCCCGCTTGCCCACGTGAACGGCACACTCAGTCTCTTGTGTTGTCAGAGCAAGGGATTAGCTGGTTACCACACAGGCCTTCGGACACAGGGCTCAAGTGAGCAGACCAGAGACTAGAACAGGGAACCGGGAACTATTTTGGAAAATGAAAGACCCCACTCTATGGAATTCTAAGACTAAGAAGGGAGGGGTGTAGTCTCCCAGAGATCACAGTGGGGCTGGAAGAGAGATGATGGGCAACTTGAAGTCTGCCGTGTCCAGGCATGGCTCTTGGTCTGGGGCAGAACAGGCAACTGGCTAGTCAGGCCCCACGGTCCCAGGACCTTAGCATTTCTTGTGGGGTTAGCTGTTGCAGGCTGTGTGGTGTGCTCAGGTCCTAGGAATCCACACACCCCTGACCGGCAAAGTTTCACTGTGTTTGGACAGTGCTCCAGACACACCACCCCGCGCTCCCGTCCCACTGCTTGTGGGAGTGACTAGCCCTTTTGGAGGGCTCCTCTCCACAGGCCACCAGCACTGTCCAGTGGAGACCACCTGTCCCTGGCATAAGCGGTTCTCAGCACAAAGCTGGGCACCTAGGCGGGACCTCGGTGGGCAGGTGGGGGGAGGCTCAGTAGGTGGAACCTAACTTGGCCTCTCATCTAGGGATGGTTTGTGTTTGGTCCTCATTCCCTATATCTTAGAACTCTATGCTCTTGTTCCTCTTGCTTTTCTTCCCCGGATAGAGACAGCCCTTGCAGAGTGGATTCTCTTTGGCAAGTTCTGGGGTCGGGAGATGAGGTCACTGCCCTTTTAAGTGGTAATGATGGTTCCCACTGGAACATGAGGGACTGACACACCTCACAGCCTCTCTGTCTGTGCTCCATTGAGAACATCTCATCATTTTTGAGGCAATGTTCCCCACCCAAGGACCACAGGACATCTGAGGTATATGTAAGGTATAATAGCATAGACAGCCATGGCCTAAAGGGACCAGGCTCATTGTTGGTGTCATCGGAAGGACATGGCATTATATAAACGGGGACAGAACGTGACAGACAAACCTACGCATTCTGGAGCTAGACTAGAGCCAGGGCATGAAGAGAAACTGGGAGTCAGAGCCCAAAGAAAGAAACATTTTACTTAACGAAACTGAAATATATATCATCTGATTCCTGGTTAAAAGACAAAAAGTGGAAGGTGAGGGTGCTGTGTGATGACTGGAGGGCGGAACTGAGGAATGGGAGTACCAGGTGGCGGGGGCTACAGTGAGACTGGGAGGGAGAGGGGACAGTGAGGCGCATGACAGCAGGGATGGCTGTTCTGTCTGGGCAATGGACATCTGCGGGTCCATCTGCAATGACCTCAAGGTGTTTCAAGGGACAGAGACATATCACAGGGAGAGCGTCCAGTAAGTAGCCTGTGGCCTGTCCAGCAGCCGAGAGCTCTCCTGGCTCCTGCAGGCCCTTCGGACTGTTATGTCTCTAGCAGCACACACTGCACATCTCAAAGCACGCCAAAGGACCTGTAGGCTGCAGCCCACGTCCTGGGCCTCTGTCCTGCCTGCCAGCTCCCTCCTCACCCTCACCCTTACCAGAGAGGCTGAAACTGGATTCATGAAGGTCCCGCATGCCGCCATGCCGGGTGACTGGCCGAGTGGGGGTGTCTGCCAGTGGCGTCCCCATCTCTTTTTTCCCAGGGTGGACAACAACAGCGACATCCCCTAGGTAGGGAGTGCGGTCCACTCCCCTCACCTTTAAGGTCTAGCGAAGAGAAAAGACAGGCACATCAGAGCCAAGGGCGCAGCTGCAGCCTCCTCCATAGCTACCACTACCCACGGTCCCCAAGGCACGCAGGTGACAGGCTTCTTGCTTCCAAGATCCAAATGCTGAAGAACGGCCTTCTTGCTTCTGTGTAAGATGAATGTGTGCATGCAAGTACAAGTGCTCGTGTGCAGGAAGGGGCCTCAGTCTCTGCCCTCCACAGGGGTGGAATCCTTCCGGGGGAGTCTGGCAGGGAAACAGTTGAGGAACACCTCCACGCGTTCTGAAACACATACTGGTGTCCTGACAATGCCCGGCTCCCAACAGGCCAGACCTTTCCCTGTGGTCTGACAACCGGTGAAAACTCAGACTAGATATTATTTGGTTTGGACGTGGGAAACTGCCGGAAGCAATGCTGGAGGGTGAGGGGTTAAACTTCACAAGCCAGACTGCCAGGGTTTCAGCCTCAGCTCGGTCCCTTGGAGCTTGTCTGGCCTAGGTCAGTTATGGCGATTCACTACATTAAAAGCGCTACTGTGAGGGGAGGAGGTACACTGGAGTACGCGCCGAGGGAGCAGCAGCAGCAGCCATGTGAGCGCCCCATCCTCTGGGATGGAACCTCAATTTTTACAATGTTGCATGCTGCCCACAGTCTTTTTGAGAGAAACAACAGGCACAGAGGATTTCTGAACGCCCCCTCCCCCACCTCCAGCATTAGCAAGAGGGGAAGCTGAGCTAACAAGGAGCCTGTATTTCAGGAGGGCCTCACTGGTCACAGACAAACTTGTCAGGCTCCCTGTCTACTCGCCCGTTTAAAATCTACCTTATTGAGACTGTAGAGATGGCCCAGAGGTTAAAACTGTGTACTGCCCTTGAGGAGACCCTGAGTTCAGTTCCCAGTGCCCGGGGAGGTGGCTCACAACCGCCTGTAACTCTAGCTTCAGGGGCATCTGAAACTTCTGGCCTCCATGGCACATGTACACACACACACACACACACACACACACACACACACACACACACACCCCACTACCATCATCACCATCACCATAGATGTATGATAAATGAGAAGCGGAAAACAGAAATTTGCAACTCCACCATCCCTCGTGCGCCTCCCACACACTCTTCTGGAACCGTGGTGACAGAGAGCATCCAGAGGAAACTGTTAGGGCTTGAGTCTGAACGGTCTCCCATAGGCTCACGTTCTGAAAGCTTATTCCCTGGCTGGGGGCCTGAAACTTCAGAAGATGGGGTGAGGCTGGCCTTTGAGGGGTGTTGGCTGGCCTCCAGTCCTGGCTTCTGTCCTCTTCTCCATCCCTACAGACTCCCATCAATCAGGAACTGCACCTGGTCACTTAAAGTGTCTGGAAGCATGAGCCCCATGAGCCGGGCTAACCCTTTCCTCGCTTAAGGCGCTCTGGTCATATTGGTGCAAACACAACTAACATATAGCATGACAGTGTCCGAGAGTTAAAGGGGGAAAGTGAAGATGACCCCCCCAAGAGCCCCCACCTCTTCCCACACATCTTCCTTCCAGCCCCACCTTACCTTCTCTCTCTGCACCAGCTTCTTATAGACAACGTCTGGGAAAGACCTCAGGGGGCAGAACTTGCCAGTGCCCTCTGCACACATGAAGACGCCATTCTCGTACACAACACGTCCCCGGCTGATGGTGACCAGCGGCACGCCGTGACAGCGCATGTTCTCATACAGATTAAAGTCTCCACCCTGCACCTGGGTGCTGGCTGAGATGGTCCTGGTGGGAGATGAGGGCGGTCAAGACCTTCTGAGCCCGTGTAAAGATAGCAGCTCTTTACGGAAAGACATGCTGCCCAACAGGAGGCAGCGGTTCCCAGAGCTGTCTGATACGGACTTAGTCCCGTCCCCTCAAAATTTGTGCGCTGAAATCCTTAACGGCAGCATCTTAGTATCTCAAATGCTGGGCTGTATTTGGACATAGAGCCTTTAGAGAATTAATGCAAAAGGAGGTTTTATAGGTGTGTGCTTTCCCCGTCTAACTGGTGTCCTTAGAAGAGGGGACGGGGACATTATTGGACAGGGATAGACAAAGGAATGGGTATACACATGAGCATGAAAGGAAGAAGGTCACTGGCATGCCACGCTCACATTTTGCTACCCTTGAAATGGTGCAAAGATTATTCGCCTTTGCAGTTCTGTAAAGACAAATTCTTAAAAACCCCAAGTCCCCCTCCCCCAAGGAAGCTAGAGGCAAAGCTTTACTTTGTGGCTTCCGGGTCCCACACCACCACGTCGGCGTCAGCTCCGGGGATGATGCGGCCCTTGCGGGGATACAGGTTGAGAATCTTGGCTGCGTTGGAACTGGTGACGGCCACGAAACGGTTCTCATCCATCTTTCCTCCAACCTGGAACGTGGCAGAGGCGTCAGTCAGCCTGGCTTCCTCCTCAGGCCCTTGCTACCCAGCCTGTGGTCTTTCATCTCGGAGGGTCACGTCTGTGGTCCTGAGGCGAACAGTGCTCTGTGCACTGTCTCACATGAGTCAGGTGGCAGAGCCTGGGCTCCTGCTTGCTCCTTTCTCCCTCACCCAGCCAGCTACCCTGGTGACTTGTGCCAAAGGCTGCCTGCCTGGGGCAAATGTACCTCCTAAGAGCAGCTCCACTCATGTGACCACTGGGGATGACTAAGGGCTTCCCTTCGTGTGTGGGGGCTTACACTCCCTGTTGTTTGCTGAGGATCTTCCAAGGCCCCCACAGGATGCCTGAAACTGCAGAGAACTGAGCCCTGTGCATACTAGGCTTGCTTCCTATACAAGCTCACCTACAACCAAGTTAACTCACAAGGCAGGCACAGCAGGAGGCTAAGAACTGCTAGCACAACAGAGTTATTTAACTACATATTGTAACAAAACTTATTGAATACGTACAGTATAGGGAATGGTAGCTCATGCCTGTAATCTTAAGACTGTCCTGAGTTTAAGGCCTGAGTTCAATAACGAGTTCCAGGACAGCCTGGGCTACAGTGTGAAACCCTGTCTCAAACAAACAACTCCCCCAAACTGAAAATGAAAAGTTTTAGACTTTTTCATTTACTGCTTTGTGGACCATGGACCGCCTGAAACTGTGGCTCAGTGCGGGAGGCTACCATTTACTCTGTGTTCTGAAAGGACTGCCCACACTGCGCCAGGCAGCTGTGTGCCTTTCCTCAAGGGGACATGTCCTGAGCTAACTCCTGGCTTCTCCCTGAGCTGGTGGCTTAGTTTTCAGGACTCCCAGTCTCTCTGAGCTCACACTGAGTGTTGAGTGTATTCCATGATAGATCAAGACCAAAAAATACTTACTCTGATGGGCAGGGCAAGTGGTATTCAAATGAAATCGCAGCCCCTATCTTTTTTAGAAATTTAGCTAGACAAAATATACCCAGAACTTTACACTCATATCCCTTGACCCAGAAATCTCCTTCGAGAAGTCTGTCCTAAGGAAGTAATTAGAAATGGTGACATTCACAAGCAAGGACTCCTTTACAGCATTACTTGAAGTGTGAAAACCGGAAATAGCCAAACGTTCCAAAGGAAGATTTAAAACTAGCATTTCCATTGGAGGGAGTATTACGTAGCAATTAAAGAAAGACACTTTGAGCCCAGGGATGTAGGCAGAGGCGGAGCTCCAGCCTAGCATGGATGAAGGCTAGGGCTAGATCACAAGTACCAAAAAAACAAAACAAAACAAAACAAAACCCCAATGTTTTAAAAAGCTCTGGGAAGACACTCAAAATGATTTAAAATATGAAGAAAGAAAGACGAATCCAGTTACTAAAATAATGTGTGGTAGCCAGGCACAGTGGCTCACACCTGAAATTCTGGCATTTGGGGGGGATGAGGCAGGGACACATTCAAGGCCAAACACACCTACACACACTGAACCAGGAAGACTTACTCAAGATGATAAATTTCTAGGTACCAAATTGTAAGAACTTTTTTCTTACGCTTCTCTGAACTTTTCACATTTCAGTAACAGGTCACAGGGTGAGCGTTTCCCCCAAGTATGTGTGAGGTGCCACTGTGCTAAGCTAAGCACGACCTGTGTCACTTCTGGAGGACACCACCAACCTCTTGCCTCAAACGGGAGTCATGATTGGGTCGGCTCTCCTGTGATGGCTGTTCTTGGCTGTCAGCTTCACTGGGATGAACTAAAATGCAAGCAGCTGTGAGGGATTTTTATTGACTGGATCATTTGAGGTAGGAAGACTCATCTTAAACCCAGATCCTTTGAGGTCAGAAGGGCCTGAGCCACACTTTCTGGACTGTGCCGAGCCCTTTAGCGCCGGCAAGGCTGAAGACACCTACCACTCCCCTCTCCCAGATGACGCTCATTCGATCCTGCACTCCGCTCACTCCGTGTGGGATCTTGGTGAAGTCTTCCTTGCCCATGGCTTTCTGCTTCGTGGTGAATGGCCGGTGGTCAGATGCCACAATATTCAGAGTGTCACTGTGGAGAGAGAAATGGCCAGTGAGGGGCTGGAGGCCAATGTTTCTGAGGGTGAGGACAAGCTGATGGAGAAAAACCTAGGCTTGGGCACCAAGAGAATCCATTTTTCAACCTCGTTCTGCTGCTGCTTATTTGCTGGGTGGCCTCTAATGGTTTTGTTTCCTTCATTTAAATGAACAGGTTATCTGTCTACAGAATTGGCATACTTGCAGAGCCATGTTCCAGGAGACTCTAGTAAATTCTTGGGCTGGTGATTGTTAAGATAGTGGGTGGTGGTGCACGCCTTTAATCCCAGCACTCAGAAGGCAGAGGCAGGTGGACCTTTGTGTTCAAGGCCAGCCTGGTCTATAGAGTGAGTTCCAGTACAGCCAGGGCTACAAAAAGAAACCCTGTCTTGAAAACAAAACAAAACAAAAAACAGTGTTGGGATACTTGCCTACCATTTTAGGGTTTAGCTGGGGTGAGATGGTAAAAGTGGTCTAATTAGCAAGGGCACACATGCCAACTTGCTTTCACCAGCTGCCTGCCCCACACTGTCTCAGCAGAACATACATAGTAGGTGTATGGCAAAGCTTTTCCAAGTTCAGTGCTAAACTTGCTAAGTGACCTGGAGCCACAGCACTCAACAGAAAGAGGACCAAGACTTAAGCCACTGTCTGGAAGATGAGGAGACTGTCAACAGTAGCATCCATGACAAAGTCTTCAGACCATTAGGGCTACCGGTGGCTAAGGCTCCATCAGGACCTCAGGCAGATACACAACCAGGGAAGCATAGTGAACGAGGCCCACTGTAGCCTGTTCTCTGCCGCAAAGGGAGACACCCCGTCCATGTTTGGAGATTTCTATACTAGAAGCCACAGCCATGAGGATACCTGACACTAAGGCAAAGCAGCCCTAGGAGGCACCTGCTACAGCAAGGAGATGATGTAGAACCGGGGACACTGCAGGGACTATCCAGTAGGGGCCCTCAGGCTTTCACATCCCTCAGAGGTGAGCACATGGCCTCACGGGGCTGCCCACTCAGAAGAGGCCCTGGGAGCAGAACGGCTCTTGCGATGTGTCTGGAAGCAGATTTTGAGGCTTCTGAACAGTTACAGAGGGCTGTCTCTCCTGGGAGCTGGCAGGCCCATCAGTTGAGGCTCTTGCCAAAGACTAATGTCCCTGGCAGACCCACAGCAAGATGACTCAGCTCTTCAGGCACAGGGCTGATCTTGCCCTGGGCTATAGAGACAGAAGGAGACACCCACAGAACAGGAGTGATCTAATAACCCAGCACCTGCACCTGCAGAAGTCGTGAGAAATGATGGAGATTCCAACATATGATAATGGGCTCCAGGCTAGGGAACCCTGAAACTCAGGTTCAGCTCCCACCTTTTAACTGAGCACTCAGCTTCTTCAGACGCAGGTAGCACTAATCAGTGGGAATAAAAGGTAGTACATTTAAATTTATTCTTTCTTTCTTTGCATGTTTGTGCACACGTGTGCATGGAGATCAGAGGACAACTTTCAGCCGTCAGTTCTACCTTCTAAGGCGGGTTTCTGAGGAACAAACTCAGGTTGTCAGGTTTAGTGGCAACAGCCTTTTACCTGCTGAGCAATCTTGGTCGCCCAGGAAACCAGATTTTAAAATAAAGGACATATGTGGATTGCACTTTTTATTCATGCTTAACCTAAGAAATTACACCATAAAGTAAATGATGGGTGAGCGACAGATTCTCTCGTAGGAAAGGGAACTGATGTCTGGGTTTCCCAGCCAGCATTCTGTAGCACATAAATTATACCAATAACATGTTATAGGAGAAAATTATAGTAATCATAAATTCCTATAAATAGTTAAATTGTGCCCCGAATCCTATAAAATAGCACACACATTTACAATGTGAACTGATTAAAAAGGAACAAAGACTATTTCTCTACCATATGAAATCATAATTCTTACAGGGCAATTTATTTAAATAATTAAAGCAAGTAGAAAAGCAGGCTAAATGTAAAAACTTAAATTATTCAATGAATAATGCTTCCTCTTCCAGTCTATTTGAGTGTGAGTGGCCTGGACACTTATTTGTGTTTTTGTTTCTTTGATTAATTTGCTTGTAGCAAGTGGAGTATTTTCAAAAGATTCTTTGAGCTCGAGTAAAGACTTTACTATAGTATTTTTAAACATATGTATGTATGGGTGTTGTGCATGTTTGCATGTGTGTGGGTGCATGTGTGTGTGAGCACACACTCATGCAGAGGCCGAAGGTTGCCATCAGATGTCTTCCTCAACACCTCTCCCTTTATTTACTGGGTCACTTGAGTACCTCCGTTTCAATTAGATTTTCCCCAGGAATCTTCATGTTGAGAGAATAGAGGGAAGCTTGGCGAGAAAGAGGAAAAACATGTCCCCGCAAAGAGATTTCACACAGATCTGACAACTTGCCAGACCATCTTCTAAGGAGACTGGGGCTAGACAATGATGGATCAATGATGGACAAGATGTCACCTTGACCTGTTTGTGCCTCTTGCTTCTCTAGAAACCTAAACTTCATGTCAGGACTCAAAGACAGACTTCTCTTCCAGGGTTTGAGAGGTGCTTTTGTACATTGTTCCCACTGGTTTACCCTACATCCAAGCTCTGAGTGAGATATGGGTGGTCCAACCTGCTCTCCCCCCAAAGGGATAGCCAAGCCCCACAAGCTTCCTCTGGGTCGGTGCACCCTTGCTGGTACTGGACGGGGACTAAGACATCCCACCTTTCTTTCTCCCTCATCTGCCCCAGCATGAGCAGAAAGAGCTAAGGAACTGGACTAGGAGCCGACTCTAAAGTAGACAGGACTTTCGTAGCCAAAGGGAAGAGAAAGTAATGTCTCTCTCTCCCCAGAATGTCACTAGCAGAGGACAGAGAAGCTGCAAGCTGTCATGGAAACAAAACCAACCTTTTCATGACTGAGCCTTGCCAAATCCAGAATATTCTTTGCACTATTTCCTTCAGATTAGGGTTGAGCATTAGATAGAGAGGGGATTGAGAATGGAGGCCACAAGAGGGTATAGGAGGGAAGAAGAAAGAAGAAAGGGGGCAGAAAGAAGGAAGGAATGCATAGGAGGGACACACAGGGAGAGAGAAAGTGAGGCAATGAGGGGGAGAGGTGAAGGTCAGCATGGCTGATCTCTATGTCAACTGCCAAGCCTTTAGTGAGGCACACCTCTGCAGGGGTGTGTGTGTGAGGGCTTTTCTAGAAAGGACAAACTAAGAGAAGAATACGGGTACTACCATCCCAAGGGCTGAGGGTCGGGGCTGAACAAAAAGGAAAGAAAACCAGGTAACGGCCAGGGTTCCTCTGCTGCCTCTTGACCCCACTGAGATGTGGAGTCCTAGCTGCCTGCTCCCATGCCTTCATGGAGGACTGTGTCTCTGGAAAGTAGCTGAAATAAGCCCTTCTTTTCTTAAAAGTTGCTCCCTCAGGTATTATGTTGCAGTAACAATTAAAGTAAACTAAGGCAGTCAGGAAGAATGAGGTCTATACACATTGGAAGATGCCAGGTCCTATGCCCCAGCTCCCTACTGGGCTTTAGGGAGGGTGCCAGTGGCCTTTGAAATGCTCTCACCTCAAACCAGCTTGTTAGAGAAGCTCAAACCCATAGCAAGGGGCTGTTGGGCTTTGGAGAAGAAGGTTCAGGCAAAATCACCCTGTGGGCCCAATAGGACCAAATCCAGGTCAGGTTTGGTTTCTAGGGCTGAAGGGCATCATCTTAAAGATCTATAGTCCCCTCGCACGGAGTGCTGCCCACTCAAACACCTTACTTGGCCAGCAGGCTCATGAGGTAGGTGGACGTGTTGGTGTCCAGTCTCAGAGGAGGCACGGTGACGTAGGCAGCTGCGTGGGACCAGTCCTGGTGGTAGTAGTGCAAGCCTGTGAGCGTGGCATGTGCGTTGGTGGTCTCAGCCAGCACCACCTTCCCTGGAAGAAGAGTCAGAGCATAACTAGGAGGCCGCCAGTCTAAGGGCATCCCATTACGCAGGCAAAGGAGCTGAAAACGAACATGTCCAGGCTCCCTTGGGCATGTGAGAGCCCAGGGTCTTTCTCATTCTGTTGACCCTGGGCAGAAAAGGACATGGGTTCTAAGGCCAAGGGACAAGAAGGAAATTTCGGGGAGTCAAATGTAGCCTGGCTGTGTGTGGCTAGCATGGGGGAGGGCGGTGTTAGGGCAGGCATGCAGTGCCAAGCTCCTTGGGCAGCCCAGCCTGTTCTCTGGACGGGCAGGTGACACGGTGGCTCTGGGAAAATTGCTGGGGCAGAATCCATAGCAGGTTCAGAAGGTCAGGGAAGGGGTCCATCCAGGAAGCTGGGCCAACACCCCAGCTGGGATCTCACAGGGGACCTCAGCTGAAGGAGAGGCAGAAGGTGGGGCCCAGATGTCAAAATGTTATGAAGGCTATGGCACCCGTGCCTCTGGCCTCTATTCCAGGGTTCTAGGCTGACTTTGGTTCTCCTGTTACCACATTCTTACCAGCACCCCAGGCTACTAGTGTTAGTGCTACCGGGTGCCTGGGAGTCACACAAACAGGTCAGATGCAGGGTTCAAGGTGGTGAGAAAAGGAAGTTGAGCCCCCCACACTGTTATTTCACCACTGTCTTCCATCCTGCCCCCCCCCCACTGATTTAGTTTGTTAGATGCCAAGGTAATTGTTAGTTTAACATTACAGACCAAAAAGACATCAATTAGTGAATCAATTTAAGACTTAGGTCATTTTACCTGACCTGGTCAAGGTAATAGATGTTTCTGCTATGCGTGCACATGTGAGGAGGAGGTGGAGGGGGTTGAGCTCGTCTACGGAGCCCAGGCTAGCTCGGGGCACCCTGAGGCGGGCAATTGCAAAGAAATGGGACAGGCAGGCTATCCCTGGTCTCGGCAGCTGAGCCTGGCAGAACGCTAGCTGGTGGACCCCATCACCTGGTCCCACAGCACAGGATACATGCCTAGGACTCACCTTGCATCTTAGCAGCGGCTATGACATCACCAGCGGAGATGCTGGACACGTTGACCAGGTAGATGGGACAGTGAGTCTAAAGGCAAAAGACAGCAGGAAGTAGCAGAACCCCCCCCCCCAAAAGGCTGCCACGCTCCCAAACCACCCCTCCATCAGTCCCGCACCAACGTATATCCCTGTGCCACTCTTCACCCATCACTAGGTGACAGTTTATGCTCAGGAAGCAGGGCTGGTGGTCTGAGTACAGAACAGACCACAGAAGTGTGTGGAGCAAGGCAGGCGGAAGCGGATGGAAGCCAGCGCTGGGGACCACCACCAACCCAGGGGGTGACCTCAGGTTGCGGCGGATGAGTCTAAACCTCAGATATTTTCAGATCTCGTGGGGGTTTTCCTGTTTTATCTTTTTTTTTCTGTTCATAAACATGATGGCCCAGAAGCAGTCAGGAATTACATCCTGTACCTGACATTTTGATGCCTGTTGTCTGATGGTCGAAGGAAGCCAGGAGAAAAACCAGGCTCATAGTCTAGGCTGGACGAAACTGATCTTGTAAACATCCGGACTGTCATACAGATTGGCTGTTCTCCCACAGAACTGCACAAACGTAGGCCATGGTCTAACTTCTTTGGGCACATTTGAGCTAAGAACCAAGTAGCTGAGGGTTGGTCACACCCTTCCTTCTTATGGGCTGGGTGTCCATCAGGAAGTATATGGTATGATAACTGTTGTCATGACAACGGAACAAGGTCCAGAGCTAACAGGAAACCTTCTTAGACGCCATTCTGTATGAGCTGATTAATCCTAAAGTTGGCTGACCACACCTCGAGTTTACATCCTTTTGGCTATTCCAGAGGGGAAGGTCCCACACAGGAGCCCTCATTAGAATCACGGGGTTGGGGGAAAAATACAGACTGCTGGGCACTATCCCGGTTTCTCATCTAGCGGGTCCCCCTGGAGCCTGACAGCCTGGTTTCTTGAGTCTGCATTTCTGACACATAATGCTGACCCTGTCACCCAGGAACCACTCCATTGGAATTCGATCCTTCTAAAGCCTGTTGTTCAGATTATCCGAGCAAACTGAACCCTTCAGCGACATCTGCAGGGAAGGATGGCCTTTCCTCAGCACACAGCACACTCCCTCGCTTCGTTCCTCTGAGGCCCAGGAGCTTGTACGGGGCAGAGGAAGTGATGCCATCACTCTGATTTCAGCTAATGAAGTAGTGGAGCAGAGGGGGACGGGGTGTGACGTGCAGTTGGTGGAAAGCACGTTTTTATTAGGTAAGAGCAAGGCTCTGATTTCTGGCGCCATCTTCTCGCTGGTTCCCGCCACGTGCCTTGTTAAGGGCTTTGCAGGAATGGAACCAGGGAGAGAAGCCTGAAGACAATGGGCCAGCAGCAGACATAGGGTTAAATTATAGCTGCATAATCCATTTATTCTTGAGCAATGAATCTCAGCTTCTGCAGGTGAAACCGACAGCTGGGGTGGGTTGGATGCACATCAGAACTCTGGGGCTGACACGTCCATTCAGCCAGGGTCCTGAGAGCCACTGGAAGCGTTGGCCTCCAGACACGAATGAGTTCCCAGTGTGGAGGATGGCAGCTACTCACCCTGTTTGCAATGGTGATGACCCGGTGGGTGGCTTCGGCTTCCAGCTGTGAAAAGCAAAGGCGAGAAGGAACCTTATTTCATCATCTGCTTCCAAGCCAGCTGCATCTGCCTGACTCTGCACAGACAGTGCTGGGCAGCTAACACAGCAGAGGGGCTGGCCACACCTACAGGGACTGGCTGTGGATAGGGTAAGACCCTGGCAGGGGCACTGGGGAGCCCCGGGATTTAGGATACCGGGTATATCTTTGACGGATGGTGCTCAGGGCTTAGAAAGGTGTTTGATGGGGCAAGCCTGGTGACATGGGCTTGGAAGTGACTTGTCCTCTGCCACAAGTGTACTGTGGCACCCCTCCCCCCATACACAAAGTAATAATAAATCTTAAAGAATGTTTTAAGGCAATGAAAGTAAACAAACAACAACTTAGATCTCACTCTCCCAGCCTGCCAGTGTGTTCTCCCAATGGCTATCACGGAAACAGTAAATATATCAAGCTGAGGCAGCAGTGGCGCATGCCTTTAGTCCCAGCACTTGGGAGGCAGAAGCAAGAGGATCTCTATGAGTTCGAGGCACATAAAATATATCTCAAGGTGGAGATTGATATCAAGCCCGGAGCAGGGTTTCTGTACTCTAACATTACTGACGTTGGAGACCAAGTATTCTCTGTGGGTGGGGCTGTATGCACACACGCTCTTGTTTCTGGTGGGAAGGGCTCAAACTCTTCCTCAGAATCTCCACAATCTCCAGAGTGCAGAGTCCTGGCTCCGAGCTCAATTTTCTTCTAACACACGAAGGCTCTGTCTGTCTCCTTTGTCTCCACATTCAATTCTGGATGAAGTGACCTCTCCAATGCCTTGAAATTAGGATTAAATGGGGCATGATGGGGTTTACGATGTCCTTCCAAGGAAAGCTAGAGCACAGAGAAAGCTTTCCTCTGGGAAGCATCCAGATGGGAATTTCACCCAGGGGGAAAAATCATATAAACAAGCATTTTCTCCCTGCAAATGACATGATTTTATTTTCTTTTACTTATTTTCTGAGGGAGGGTCTCATGTAGCCCAGGCTGGCCCCAAACTTGCTATGTAACATTCTTTTTTTTGACATCTCTTCTGAAAGATTCCACAAATGTTATGGTTTGAATAGGTAATGTTTCCCATAGTGCCATGGTCCTAATTCGTGGTCTCTAGGTAACAGTGGTATTTTTGGAAACAACAGGCAAGGCTGAGCTGCCGGTAGGACACCACTGTGGCTGGAGCCCTCCTTACTGGTTCCCTGGCTACTTCCTATTTCACTTTCTGCTTCCTGGTTGGTCATCAAATGAACAGGGCTCCTTTGCCACATTTTCCTGTCACCAGGATGCTCTTGTTCAAGGGGAAACATCCACTGAATTGTTTGAAACAATGAGCATGAGCAATAATAATAACAACAACAGTAATGATATATTTTCTCTCAGCCTTATTTTCAGTGACAGAAAGCTAATGAACACAGGAAGTCTACATGAAAGAAAAGATGCTGACCGCAGACACAGGAAGTTCCTCCTACCTCCTCTGGACGGCTGATCTCAATTCCTTCGGGGCCTGTGATACCCAAATCTAGAGCTTCCTTGGCACCCTGAATAACAGTGGGAGAAAGACAACAGAATTACGTAGATACAAGAAACTACGGAACCTGAGAGACAGTGAAGTGTGCCAGTATGCTTCCTTCTGTAGTGTCCATCCATAGGATAAATGGGGCCTCCGGGAGTAAACATCTCCTGGGTCTCTTCTCACATCTTAATGACTGGGCAGTATCTCTCTTATTCTTAAAAATACAGCCCAGGGCTAAGCAACGGCCTGGGGACACCAAAGACAAACACCAGCTAGTTGGTTTAAAAGCTGGAGCTGCTTTTCTGAAAATTTCAACAATTATCTCGGATATCAGTGACTCCCGGGCTTAGCATCACCTCAGGACTTAGGGGAACTAAGGGGTCCACCCTTTGTACCAGAGGACAGACATTTATAATGTAACAGTTCTGACAAAGAGGTATAGAAAAATGGAGTATTGCTGTTTATTTTGCATGCTGTATCTCAAAAAAAAAAATATTCCCAAGAGATGCTTTAAATCATTTTGCTATAGTTGAATTTAAAATTATAACATTCACACTAAGTTATCGTCTAAGACTTAGACACCTCTTGAAATTATACATACATACATACATACATACATACATACATACATACATACATACAT